GAGCTGAGTGATGCTAACGTGAAGTCTTTGGAAGGCATAAAGCTGCCCGAGGTAACATGGGAGTATCTGTTCTAATGTGATTGTCGCCTTTCAGTCGCTCCCAGGAGGAGATTATTGTCTCACCGCGGTAGCAGAGTTTGACAAGAGTTGGAATAAGACAGATTCCCCAGACCCCAACGTGCCGCCATGGAGCCACTTGGTCAACAGTCGTGTCCAAGATCATTACTCATGGAACTGTGAAGCGCCTTCGAGGTGATACCTGGGGCGGCTCTGACTGGGAGTATGATCATTTACGGTAGGATCGAATCGAGCCGGCGTAGGATGTACGTGGCGACGCCCTCTAGTGCGAGTATCACGGTGAAGCGAGCTCCTAGGCCTACCACTCACGTAGTGTCTGAGTCGCCGAGTGAGGTTCCTCCTTCCCCGACGAAGGCAGTATGGCAGACGGTGCGTATCACTATGGAGTTCCTGAGGATGCCCTCTAGGGTACCAATGATAGTCGAGATCGACCCGACTGGGAAGAGAGGCTCCTTGAAGGCGAAGCTTGTGGGTAATCAACGCTTGGCTCGTGGCACGTACATGCTAGCCGTTCATGAGTTCGGTGACCGAACCAACAGGGGGAAGAAGACTGAGGTACTCACGGTGGAGGTAGAGAGGCAAGATCAAAGCATCGATGAGGAGTTTACCTTTGATACTATCAGCGGAGCGGATCTCTCGGGTCATGGGATCGTCTTGGAATGGTACCCGAGGAAGCTACGGACTGGAGGGGGCGAGGTGGGGGATGGTGGAAAGGACTTCGCTTGGGCGGTGATACCCACAATTGCTGGTGGAGTAGATCCGGACTCGGAGCTCGACTTGATCTGTGAGTGGTCCGGTGGCCAGGGGTATGTGGAAGTGGTCTCCAAAGATGTCGAGGGCGTCTTGTGTGGTGTTAACAGAACCCGAGCGCCGGTCGAAATCCGAGCCGATTGCTGCTCTGAACTTCTCACAGCAGGGGAGCCCTTTGGGGTGACGATGGACGAGTCGGAGAAATTGGCAGTAAACTTCAGATTCGGCGAGGCTGGTCGGAGTGCGTGTAGAGCATGCAGTGCCGGTGATAAGCTCATATTGCGCATGGCTCATAAGGACCACAAGGAGTGTGTACTGGGACGCTTCTCCGCCGAAGACAGCGAGCTAGCTGGAGAGGTCGATTGTAGCGTCTTGAAATCTCATATCGGCAGTTCCTTAGCTGTGACGGGTATAGCATCCAACTTCGCTGCATTGCTGATGGTGATTGGTGGCTTATCTATCATATGCTGGCCCGTGGCATGGTGTGTGAGTAGATATAAGCGGTTACGGAGGAGGGAGGAAGGCTGGCGAAAACTCGGTGGTAACCGGGAAATGGTGTCTTTGAGGGGAGCGGACGACGAAGGTTCTTTGGTCGAGAGCCCGGTGGAGTCTTCTCATGGTGGAATACCGACTGACGGTGGAGATTCTGGGGTGCCACGTCGAGTATTTGAGCGAGGTCCTATGGAATGAGTTGAACCATTTGATACTATTCGTGTATTTCCATTCCTGTCACCTTTTCTGAATCACGAAGATGGCGGTGTTGGAAACGGCGTACGCCTGGGATAGGGGACATGCGCTGGAAAACTGAGAGCAGGATTAGGAGTAAGCATGTCGAGAAGTGGGATTGGAAGCGTCATGTGTTGAGTATCAACGGAGGCAGGATCAGTCGCTATTGGGACGAATGTTAGCAGAATGATTTTCAAAGACACGGAGCCCACATTCATTATGTGGATCATGTTCTGACTCGGATTTTCTCGTTTCAAAGCAAGTTGGATGGATATCGAGTAGCCTCGAGATTTCTCTCCTGGACTCTCCCAAGACTAAGGCATCCTCAACGAAGTGGAAAAACTCGCTATATCCTACGTGTACAACGAACTTCACTTTAAAACTTAGAGGATTAGACTGGCGCAACATAGGTCTCCAGTTGAACCGTGCATCTCTGCGACAACATGAATATCATTATTTACGACAGCGGCAGGATTCGAACCTGCGCGGGCAGAGCCCAGTGGATTTCTAGTCCACCTCCTTCCTTAACCACTCGGACACGCTGTCTTGTATGTGATATAATTCCTTCGCAATTTTTTACTATCGGGAATCCCGATTCGGGATGCATCACGATATTGATCGGATATTCCCAAACAAACCTTATCATCACACACTTATAGTCCGGGTCAGACTGCTTGTTAGTCACAAGATTCAAATCTACGCGACCAAAGACAATAGATCGCTTAGCAACTATTCCTGATCCAATTCTGCATTCACTCCGACCTGCTATTCCTGATCCAATTCTGCATTCACTCCGACCCGCTACCCCGTTAAAATGATACGTTCTACAGAAGCGAATCCAAAGTTCATTATATTTGTAGTCCATGTACAGGCAGACTCAATAATGAAATGGTTGACAGAAAGAAGTTAATAGAATCTGATTCAATGGAAGCCCTCCCGCATAAGGCAGCTTAGTCACGAAACATGAAAGAATAATGCTTCCAGTAGCAACAATCTTCCCAAGAGTAAACCTGCCCCCCGCTCCAACCCTCCCACCATCAAGTGATTGACAACACAAATGATGGCCATTCACTGACGACACGATTTGAAAAAAATGTCGGGCTACATCCTACGAATTTTGGACAAAAAAACTTGCACCGACTCGACACATTAACTTGCAGGACAAACAGATGGCCTGCTATACCCATTATCGTAACCTGAATGAAGAGTTAGGAACTATTTATCTAGTGAGAGAAAGTCATCTTCTGTTCGCTAGCATTGCCCATCTTGAAGAAGTCGTTACCCTTATCATCAACAATGATGAAAGCGGGGAAGTCGACGACATCGATCTTCCACACGGCCTCCATGCCGAGCTCCTCCATATCGAGACACTCAACCTTCTTGATGCTCTTCTCAGCGAGAATAGCAGCGGCACCACCGATGGAGCCGAGATAGAAACCACCGTGCTTCTTGCAGGCATCAGTCACCATATCGCTACGGTTACCCTTACCGATCATGATCATGGAGCCACCGTTGGCCTGGAAGGGCTCAACGTAAGGGTCCATGCGGTTGGAGGTGGTGGGTCCGAAGGAACCGGAAGGCTTTCCATCAGGCTTCTTGGCAGGGCCAGCGTAGTACACGGGGTACTTCTTGATGTAGTCGGGAAGACCCTTGCCGCTCTGAAGCATGTCCATCATTCTAGCGTGGGCGATATCACGAGCAACGATGATGGTACCGGTGAGGGCAACACGAGTCTTAACAGGATACTTGCTCAAGGTGGCGAGAGCCTCCTTCTGGGGCAAGTTCAAATCGATCTTAACAGCCTCCTCATCGTCACTAACAAAGTCAGGCATGTACTTGGCGGGATTCTTCTCGAGCTTCTCAACGAAAACACCCTCGGGGGTTATCTTCGCAAGACTCTGACGATCAGCCGAGCAACTCACACCAAGGCCGACAGGACAAGAAGCACCGTGGCGAGGGAGACGGACAACGCGTACATCGTGCGCGAAGTACTTGCCGCCGAACTGAGCACCGATACCGAGTTCCTGGCAGTTCTTGAGAAGTCTCTCCTCCCAGTAAAGATCCCGGAAAGCACGACCGGTAGAATCACCAGTGGTGGGAAGACCATCGTAATACTTGGTGGACGCCAACTTGACAGTCTTCATAGTCTGGTCGGCAGACTGACCGCCGATAACAACGGCGATGTGATAGGGAGGGCAAGCAGAAGTGCCGAAGTGAGCGATCTCCTTCATAAGGAAGCTCTCAAACTCCTTCTCCTTAAGGAAGGCCTTGGTCTTCTGGAAGAGTTGGAATTTATTGGCAGATCCACCACCCTTGGCAATGACATGGAACTTGTAAGCGAGCTCATCACCAGGATGACCGGCGTAGAGTTCGATCTGAGCGGGCAAGTTGCAGCCAGTGTTCTTCTCCTCGAACATGCTCAATGGGGCGACCTGGGAGTAACGGAGATTATCTTGGGTGTATGCATCATAAACACCCTTGGTAATAGCCTCCTCATCAATACCGCCAGTAAGAACGCGTTCGCCTCTGTAACCGTAGACACAGGCGGTACCAGTATCCTGGCATGAGGGTAGAACGAGACCAGCAGAGATGCAGGCGTTCTTCAACAACTCGAGGGCAACGAAACGATCATTGGCAGAAGCCTCCGGGTCCTCGAGGATCTTCTGGACCTGTGCGAGGTGAGCACTCCTGAAATAGTGCTCAATATCCTTGATGCAGGTTTGCGTGAGGTTAGCGATAGCCTCGGGATCGACCTGAAAAGTTGAACAATGTGAACCAGACTCACTCAAGAGCGCCGATGACATTCACATCATCTGATCCGAAGTGATCGAACATTCGCGTACCTTGAGAAAGTCAAGTCCATCGGGTCCCTTAGCCACAGAGACACCTTCCTTCGAAAGGAGCTCATATTCGGGCTCCTGAAACCAGAACAGCAATCATACAACACCGCAAGGGTTATGAATCTATATAGGAGAGAGTTATTCTAATGTCCACAACGACTGAAGTCCTAATGGGTAAGACTTCCCGAAGTTCTACCTCGCCGTTGGCGTGTGTCTGAAAGAGGGGGGCGTACTTCTCGAAAAATGCCGACCCGGAACTCATTAAGAACAGATTCGAGATAACTGTAGCATCATTATGAACGTCTTTTCGATTCATGTTGCTCGGCTCGGACACTCCCTGTGGGAATCTCAACTCAACAGAGACGAGCTGCAAATCGGATAGCGTCGCTAAATCTTGCAATCTTAAGATTACTCAGTGGTCGTCAACTAGGAGCATGATTTTCAGCACAGGCCCTATAATTCAGGAAGCCTTTCTTAAGGAAGGAGCGTTAGGAATTCCTACTCTCAAGGTACACCTTAAGGAGCAGCTCCTAGATTATAGGCCCGTAACATCAGAGAATAGTCCCTACAACTAGCGTTGTGCAGAACGAACCCCCACGTGAGGGCGTGCTAGAACCCGTGACCTCGCGGTACCATGTGTGTGTGTGTCCTACACTCACGCAGCTCGTGTTATGCGCGTGTCTCACGCAATCACGCAGCGCGCTACGCCCCAGCACCGTATGCTGATCAGCACCGTTAGATCGTGACCGGCGACGCTAGAGTCTAGCCACCCACTGGAGATCACAGTCTAGTGACTAGACTGTGATCTCCAGTGGGTTTTCTGGCTGTCGACCGATCTGACATAGTTTTTAGGCCGGAGAATCTGCAAACGAGTTGGATACGACTATTAAACTGGGAAGGAATCATTGTAGTAGCTGAAAGCAACATCAAATCATATTGGGGAATGTCGGATTACGTTGAGAGTGGACGGTTAAATTAGAAATGTTGGATGGGAAACTACCTGCTCAGCGAGCTCCAGCGGATCAGCGGTGAGCGCAATAAGACGCAAAACTGGTCGGAATTCGGGAAACACTCGGCTGATCACATCATGTAGTTGGAATAAAAAGTTGTACCCAAATTCGAGCATCGTATTGATCAGCGATTAGCTCCTACCATATCGTTCTCCATCATCTTCAAGATGACATCCTCTATCATAGCTCTCATCATATCACTCATCGTCGCTCGTATTGTTGTTGCTAGTGCTGTTGGAGTGATGTGTGTGTTACATCTTGGAGTCATGGCATAACCGCCCCGCCTGGAAAAATTGATCATACAAAGGTATATCTTGGAACGATGGCATAACGGCCCCGCCTAGAGAAATTGACTGTTCTAAGGCACATTTCGGAGTGATGGCATGAACGCCCCGCCTAGAAAGATTGATTGTACTAAAGCACTTCTTGGAGTAATGGCATAACCGCCCCGCGCGGAGGATTTAATTGATTGTACTAGCGTATATCTCGGGGCGGTGGCATAGCTGCCCCATAGCAATCTTGTTGGGAGAGGACAGTGCTGTGAAATCGTTGGAAAATCCTGAGATGGTATCAAAAATGGTGACGTGGATCGACCGCGAGAAAAGGACTGTCAGAGATTGAGACCGACTACTACACTTTCTCAATCCCAAATGCAGCGAGTGAGAGAACAAATTAGGAAAATACAATTTGATTTACGTAGGATGGAAGGAGTTTGTCGCGGAATGAAAGTTCAAACTCGAAATGAAAGACCGCCCGGGAATAAATATTCAAGCTTGTAAAGGAATTCACTAAATTCAATTTACGAGTTCGGAGACCCAAGTTCGAATTCAACGAACACAAGA